TAGAAAAGATGATACTTATTACTTGTAAAAATAAGGTCAGTTATAAGTAGTTTGAACATCGTTATTATTTTTGAGAATAACTTTTAAATAGAGGTAAGACAGAATCTATATTTTGTTCTTTATCAAAATAAAGTTTTTTCCAACATCAAGACAAAACTGATCATACAGTGATAGGCTATTAGTTGAAATACAAGGCTTTATAATAAAATTAAGATTATTCACATCAGAAGACAGCAGCACTTTGCATGTTTCTCATATCTTGCATTTAATAGTCTCTCTAAACTGTACTTTAATAAAATGGGAGTAAAGCCTGCCTTACATAGTTGTGACTAAGGATCAATCCTATATAAAAAAGCCTAATATGCAAATCAACCAAACGGTAGAACAACTGACCGGTTACTATGACACACACTGACCATCAAGGGGCAGACACTCAATGCAGGAGCAGCCCCTAGCCTGCAGGCCTAGGCCAGCCAAGACGCGTGCCAATCGCCCCACAGATTGGCCTTAATTGCCAGCCAGGCCTAGGAATCTTACCTGTGCCGAATATCATGCACTGGGCCTCTATTTGATATATAAAGAGCGCAGCACAAAATAGGAACTTAATAAATAATAGGAATCTTACCCACTTCTTTTTCAACTTCTTTATTAATAGTTTACATTCCCAATTTTGTATTAGTTTCAGGTATACGGCACAATGGTTAGACAATCATAAACTTCACACAGTACTTCCCCCAATATTTCCAATATGCACCTGGTACCATATATTGACTATATTCCCTATTTTATATCCCTCTATTTGTTGCTACTAATTGGTACTTTTGGTACTTCTTTTATATATATATACATATATACTTTTTTTTTATTGATTTCAGATAAGAAGAGAGAGGGAGAGATAGAAACATCTATGATGAGAGAGAATCATTGATTGGCAGCCTCCTGCATGCCCCCTACTGGAGTCTGAACCTGCAACTCAGGGTTGTGCCTTGACCAGAATCAAACCCCGGATCCTTCAGTCCATAGGCCGATGCTCTATCCATTGAGCCAAACAGCTAGGGCCATTTGGTATTTCTTAATGCCTTCACCTCTCACCCAGCCCTTTAACCTCCCTCCCCTCTGGCAACCATTTGTCAGTCTGTATCTATAAGTCTATTTCAATTTTGTTTGTTCATTTATTTTGTTCTATATTTCACAGATAAGTGAAATTATATAGCATTTGTCTTTCTCTAACTGAAGTATTCTATTTGGCATAATACACTATAGGTCTATCCATGCTGTCAAAAGGGTTAAGACCGTTTCTCGTTTTTATGGCCCAGACTTTGTCATTTCTCTTTAGAGAACTTGATTTTAGTTATGACTTAAATAGTTTATTCAACAAATACACTATCTTTTTTAAAATATATATATTTTATTGATTTTTTACAGAGAAGGAGAGGGATAGAGTTAGAAACATTGTTGAGAGAGAATCATCAATCAGCTGCCTCTTGCACACCCCCTACTGGGAACGTGCCCGTAACCAAGGTACATGCCCTTGACCGGAATCAAACCAGGGACCCTTCAGTCCGGAGACACTATCTAAATTGAGGCAAGTAACTCTTGCTGTTACTATACTTTCAGAATTAATAATTGTCATTAATCACCTGTGCTTTATCCAATGAGCAAATGACAATCTTATCCCAGGTCACAAGTTCCTGGCCTACTTTAAGCTTTCAGAATAGAACAATCATTTCCCTTTCTAAAAATCATCCTCAGTTCTAAATCAAAGTTAATTTCCTGACAGTAACATCCCTCTAACTTACACATATTTTCAGTACAGCTTTAAGCAAATGGAAGAAATTTTACTGGCTACAAAGACAGTCATGCAAATTAGAAGCCCATGCAGTAGTTATCTCAATATTTGACATGATGTGTAGACTGAATCCCAGACCTGATAGATCCTGGTCCTGGTGGGGGTGCATGCGGGAGGCAACCAATTGATGTGTCTTTCTCACATCTATGTTCCCTCCCTCCTTTTCACTCTCTCTAAAAATCAATGGAAAAAATATCCTCAGATGAGGACTAATAAAAAACAAAAAAGAAAAAAAACTTAGGTTTGAGTTTCTAAACTTCTGCAAAGTAAGAAGGCTTTCTGAATGAGAATAAGGCAATGACAACCTGACAGGTATAATGTAAGAAAAGAGTTTAGATACATGGGGAATTAAAAAACAAAAGACAAAAACAAAAAAAACCTGATACAAGGGGAACCCAAATTTTACAGGGGAGAGGCAAAGGAAAAAAAGGTCATAACATGTAATATTCCCAGAACTATAACCAACTTGTAAACATACGAACTTATAAATCTTTTATATAAGAACAATTTTATTTAGGATAAGACTACCATGAGACTTAAAAGCTCTCCCTCAAAGCTCCCCTCTTATTGTACAGGGGGCTGCAAGCGTTGCTGCAGCTCTGGATAGCCAAAGGAGAGGAGGAAAACAAAATGAAATATTCACAGTATTGCACCCTATACTCGTGCCGTGTAAAGGAAGAAAGAAGATGGACAAGATGTTCTTGAACATCTATTCATGGCATTTTAGTATACATTTTCTTCTCACAAACCCATTATAATGTAATTTGGATTCCCAGTCAGGCCACAAAGTGTCAACACCAAAACTACAATTCAGCAACAGGAACCTAGGAAGATAATATCTCACTTTTACAGAAAACTGTTTCTAGTTCTCACCAAACCACTTCACATGGCAGTTTGGACATGTACGTAATATAGATGTAACAAAGCTATATATGCAGTTGCTGTCTTTGAATATTTAACTTTCAGTTCCTGTTCTGCCTTTACATAGGGGTGGAGAATCTTTTCTCTGCCAATGACCATTTGAATATTTATAACATCATTTAATGAAATTCACTTAATATAAATTTATGTTGCTAAGAAAAAGCTCCTAGATTTTGAATTTCGAGTTCCACCTGCCTTGGCAGGGCCTTATACAGCCCACCCGCAGGCTGGACAGTCCCTAGTCCTGCTCTACATAAACATTCCTCCTCTTGCTCCCCCTCTGCCTGCCAATGATGCACTATTCCCTAAAGACAGCACTTGGAGAAAGAAGCCTATGTCTGCCTTCCATGAGCAGTTTTACCACCTCCCAAGCCTCACCTTCCTTCCTCCAGCCGATCTGCCCCAAGTGGATCAACTATCAGAGGACAGAAAGCTATGACTGTAAAAACACTAATCAACTGAAGTGAAACAGCATTCCCAGAGCCTCAGCACAGTGGAGGACACAGTAGCTGCTCAACATATTGAAAAGGAATAAATTAATCTCATCCCAATTCTAGCTGATCCTAGACCTCTTCATCTTGGCTCAATTATAATACATTTTAGGAGCTGATCTGGGAAAGTTTTTATGCTCTGCTTTTTTCTGAAAAGTTATGAACAATGCTTCAGTGGAAATGAGAGCAAAGCATAAAGACAACCAAATAAGAATTAACCAGGAGGATCAAGGGAGTGACAATAACAGCTGGCTCATCCTCTAATCCAGTGGTCGCCAACCTTTCGAGCCTCACAGGCCAACGGCTGGCAACCACTGCTCTAATCCAAGGGTGAGAAAAAGAGTGAAAAAAGTTCAGCATTGTTACTAAAACTTTCAAAGCAAAGACTTTTATCATATTGTTTGAGACCCCCCCCCCCCAATATTAAAAGCCTCAAAAAAAAAAAATTATTCTCAAGAACTGAATACTAAGAAAATTTTAACTTTTCAAAATATGAGATCTGCATAACCTTTCATATTATAATACTAAACTCTGCCAATAAGTAAAAAACTAAGGTTGGCCATCCTTGTGCTATTGCTGATAAGGTGCATGCTGTCTCCCCTGCCACCTCCAATCTTAGCTCTTCAGCCTTTTTTTTTTTTTTAAATTCTCACCAGAGGACATGCTTAGAAAAGGAGGGAGGGAGGGAGACATCTATGGAGTTATTTTTTTGACCAGGGATTTAACCTGCAACCCAGGTATGTGCCCTGACCAGGAATTGAACCAGCAACACAGGATGTCACACTCAACCAACTGAGCTATTCCGACCAGGCAGTTCTACAATCTTTTGTTAACTACGCTTTTATCATTTACTGTAAGTCCCAATTCCTTTACAAAAGTAGATACACAACTGATAAAACATTGTTTTAGGAATGAACATTAGATGCCAGATTTACAAATTAACATTTTAAAAACACATACATGGATTAAAATTTATTAATAGAAGTTGCTACCTGTGTCTAAACAGACTACAAACTAGTCTCAATTTGGAATGAAGTTTACTTCTTCAATGTTTGCACTCAGTACCTCCTTAGTCTAAATTAATTTAGAAAGCCTAACACTCCTAAACCTAATACTCGTAAATTCTCATCTCATTTTCATTATCAGTAACCATCCAAATCCTCCACAGTAATAAAAATTAGGTTTTGTGTAATCCTAACCCAACAAAAAGAGATGATTCTGCCCAGCTGATGTGGCTCAGTGTTGACCTATGAACCAGGAGTTCAATTCCCAGTCAGGGCACATGCCCACGTTGCATGCTCAATCCCCAGTATGGGGCGTGCAGGAGGCAGCCAATCAACGATTCTCTCTCATCAATGATGTTTCTATTTTTCTCTCTCCCTCTACTATCCTCTCTGAAATCAATAAATAAACATATATATAAAAGGTTCCGAGTGTAATCACGTAATTTAAAACAAACAAATAAAAAGAGATGTTTCTTATTGGAACTGGAGTTAGGGATTTATGAAAGACTGTTCCCAAAATGAGTACGTCTGGAAACATTATCCAAGTTGTTGAAGTAAAATTTCAACCCCCAGTTGGTTTCTTTAAAGTTTTTAAATCTCTTCTATAAAATTATTTGTAGTTCCCATTAATCAAAAAGTAGAAAGAAAACCCAAGTATAGTTAAAAATTTAAATCCTTTAACTAAATGGCTTACATGAAGTTCTGTAGCTCACAATGAAGAAAATCAAAACTTACCTAAAGTCATTAATTTAGCACAACTACTTTTGCTTGCATCGTCTTCTAAGATTCGGTTTGTGCTCTTCTCTTTCTCAAGCAAAGTATCCTCCAAATGTAAGCATTTATCAGATACAACACTGTCTTCATCCACCACATGGCTAATGTTGCTATTAGCTTCAAGTACAGAAGTGAAGTCTTCCAGCTGAGCGGCTTCACTGGTTTCTGAATGAGAGGAACCCTTACCCTGGGCTAAATTTTTTGAAGAAACTGGTAGAGATTCATCATCGCTATCAAATCCAAAAGGATCGCCAGTATTTTCTTCTTCCACCTTAGGTTTCTTCGGAATTTCTTGGATATCTGATTTGAAGTTGGGTCTCTTCTGCCCTAATTTAGCCATAAATGTGGTCTCTCCCCATTTTGTGCTAAGGGTAGTCCGTTTGTTAGAAAAGACTTCATCAAATTTTGAACTGCCATTTCCGCCTTTCCTACTGTATGTTTTCCCAAATCTGGATGTCATTTTGACACCTGTTTCATATTCTGTGAGAAAAAATAGAAAAGAATACATATAATCACCAAATACTTAAATGTTAACATTGAAAATAAAATTAAGAACCCAGGGATTCTTCCCATGTGACTTTCCAACATTCAAGATACAAATCTTGCCCTAGCCAGTTTGGCTCTGTACATACAGCATTGGCCTGTGAACTGAAAGGTCCCAGGTTCGATTCTGGTCAAGGGCACATGCCCCAGTTGTGGGCTCAATCCCCAGTCGGGGGCTTGCAGGAGGCAGCCAATCAATGATTCTCTCTCATCATTGATGTTTCTCCCTCTTCCTTCCTCTCTGAAATCAATAAAAATATATTTCTAAAAAAAGATACAAATCTTTAAAAAATTGTTAAATTAACAGCGGGGGGGGGGGGGGGGGGGGTGTTGAAACAGAGAGGCTAATTTTTTACTCGGATTTCCATGTCAAATTTTTGTTTTTAATCTTTACCCGACCATATTTTTGCATTGATTTTAGAGTGGCAGAGAGGAAAAGACTGAGAGAAATATCAATGTGAGAGAAACACATTGATTGGCTGCCTCCTACATGTACCCTGACCAGGGCCATGGCTGGAGAGGAGCCTGTAATGGAGGTACACGCCCTAGACTAGAATTGAACCCTTCAGTGCACGGGCCAACACTCTATCCACTGAGCTAAACTGGCTAGGGCCCATGTCAGTTTTTTATATGCCCAGTGGCTCAGGGGTTGAACACTAACCTATAAATCAGGAGATCATGGTTCTCAGTCAGAGCACATGCCCAATTCCTTCTCATCACTGATGTTTCTATCTCTTTCTCCCTCTCCCTTCCTCTCTACAATCAATAAAAATATATTAAATATACATATTTACATTTTTCAGGATTTCAGAAATATCAAATAATTGACTAAATTTAGTTCTTTGAAATTTCAGAACACTTACTAACATGAGGGGGAAAAATCGGGAAAAATTGTGCAATTTTCTCATATATTAAAACATGCAGCTTTTAACCCAACCTTAAATTCTAATTCTTGGTCTAAAGTAATTTTCAAGTGTTACTTGAAAAATACTCGTTAGCCCTCGCCAGTGTAACTCAGTAGTTAGAGCACCACACAGAAGGGTTTCTGGGTTCAGTTCCCAGTTAAGGACAATTACCTGGCTTACAGGTTCCATTCCCAGCCCTAATCTATGTGACAAGAATGTTTTTCTCTCTCCCCCCCTTCTCCTTTCCTCCCTTCCACTTGATATAAAAATGAGTGATTCTTAATCCTCTGGTTAAGAATAACTATATATGTATATGAATGTTTATTATTTAGTTGGTCATCTCCCTAAGCACAAGCAACCACACTTATTCTCTCATCCTTAACCTATAGGCTTATGATCATTGCTGAGCTACATTTTTTGGAGCTGGTGAACTCCAGCATATTACAATGGTCCTTTGATTATTAAACGAAGCAACAGAAACATGTAACTTTATTTTCCTCTTCACTTTATAAAAAATAAATGGTTTCATCTAAATTATCTACATTTTGCCGAGACCGGTTTGGCTCAATGGATAGAGCGTCGGCTTGGGGACTGAAGGACCCGGGTTCGATTCCGGTCAAGGGCATGTACCTTGGTTGCGGGCATATCCCCAGTAGGGGGTGTGCAAGAGGCAGCTAATCGATGACTCTCTCTCATCGATGTTTCTAACTATCTCTCTCCCTTCCTCTCTGTACAAAATCAATAAAATATATATTAAAAAATATATATAAAAAAAATAAAAATAAATTATCTACATTTTAATAACAAATCTAGGAAAAAGTTTCAGGACAGTAAATCAGAAGAGTCAAACATTTTTAAAACAAGTTACCATACAGTACTCTTTAAACTCTACCAACTCTTTCCCATTTCTTTGACATTCTAGAGTTAAATATAATATTTAAATATAACTAGAAAAAAATGAACAATTGCCTAGGGGCTTGAAAAAAATCTTCATCCTGGAATGATATCATTCACCTAGAATGATATCTGACTTACATATTTTTGTTCTTATTTTTATTTTCTGACATTTTTAAAATATACTTGATCTATCCTTCAAATGTTTTCCCTGTATTAACTTAATCACTATAAACTTAGTTCTCTATATATTCAGTAGAGAATTTCCCCCTCTCATGTTTGCTCAGAGGTCAATTCTAATTTGACAAAATAATAATTTATCTTCATACATACCTGAATTAAGATTAAGAGTCCATAAATTATTTGAAAACCTTTTAACATATCACAAAACTTTTTACTAGGGGAGATCTTTTTCCCTTCTAGTGAAGATTTAGACTAAAGAATCTTATGGTCTTTTTAAGTACTGCCTAAACAAAATTAAGTATATTTGGCAGCTACAAGAATTACAAACTGAAGTGATTTTGATTTATTTTCATTCCAGGGAATGTAAAGCCTTGATCTACAGACCTATATTTACACAGATCCATACAAAGCTGGAATGTTCTGGATACACTTACACAGTAATGACCTAAAAATGCTAACTGAAGGCCAAACCAAAAATCTAGACTTGAGATCCTTTAGGCCCACATCAGAAAAACTCATTGCAAAAATGGTCCTGGAACTACAAAGCATTCAATGGTCCTCGAATCAGCTGCAAGTTGAAAGTCTGAAGGTAAATATTTAAGGTTAAAGAATTATTTTAAAAGTATGAAAAATCATGCTTACATCTTTAAAAAGAACTTGTCTTTTAGAAAGATATACTAAAATACTGATGAAATGATGTCAAGGATTTTCTCACTTCAAGGAATGTGGAAAGTAAAATGAATAAATGAGAAAATTTCAGTGGCGTTAATAAAATCTGAGAATACATGAGAGTTCATTATATAATATCCCCTACTTTTCATTTCCTTTTCAGTTTTCCATAATGTCTTTTTTTTTAAAAGACACTAGAGAGCCCTGGCTGGTTTGGCTCAGTGGATAAAGGGCCTGTGGACTACAGAGTCCCAGATTCTATTCCAGTCCAGGGCACATGCCTGGGTTGTGGGCTCCGTCCCCGGTGGGGGGTTGTGCAGGAGGCAGCCAATCAGTGATTCTCTCTCTATTGATTTTTCTATCTCCCTCTCCCTTCCTCTCTGAAATCAATAAAAATAATATTTTTAAAAGTCACTAGACAGATTATTGTAATGACATTATGTAAGCCTACAATATAAGGTGTGTATACATTAAAAAATAAGTATGCGGACACACACTATTTTAAGTATATTTCAAGTACACAGGCTATGTTGCTCAGGCTTCCAATTCCAAAGAAGGAATGATTCAAAACTAAGTCTTTTCGGTCGCTGGGCCTTTTCCTTCCTTAGCCAAAGTCAATTTTCAGGGAAGTACGCTAAGTCCTCACACTTGCCCCCATCCAAACCTAGTCTTTCGGCTCCCCAAAGTTTTAGGGGAGACCCTTTAAGGAATGATGCCGGAAGGGCAAAGCTAGCCCCCCAGAAACCCTCACCTGCGGCTGCCGGGGCGCCAGGGGGCAGCGCGAGCGGCCGCCCCGCTCCGCGGAGCTCACGCAACTTTCCTGCTCCCGCCCCCACCGCCCAGGAAGGGACGTCGCTCCCGACGCCCCGGAAGCCTCGGCCCCGGAGTCCCGGGCCGCCGAGGCCTCGGGGGCGCCGGGCGGAGGGCGAGGGCAGGGCTCGGGCTGAAGCGGCACACTCGGCGCGGCTGGCGGGAAGTACACCAGCGGCCACCCGGAAAGAACTCAGAACAGGGGCCAATAATAGGGAGTTCGGGTGTCCCTGCCCAACTTCCTCCGACCCGGGGGGAGACAGCCGCCCGCCCGCCCGCCCGCCCCGGCCCAGCCAGCCGCCCAGACCGCACTCACCCTCGGCGCCTGGCGGGTGCTTTAGCCTCGGCCGCCTCCGCCTCTCCCAGCCCCAACGGCCCGCGGGCGCCGAGCCCCGCGCGGAAGGACAGGGCCCGCTGGTGCACGAAGCGCGGCGAGGGCTCCGCCGCCGTCAGACCCCGCGACTCCGCTCGCGGTAAATAGGAAACCGGCAAAGGGGGGAGGAGCGGCGGCACCGCAACTTCCCTCGGGCCTCGAGCGCCCCAGCCGGGCCTGGGCCTGGGCCTCCGGGGCCGCCGAGCCCGCTACGTGCCGCCGCTTGGCCGCCGCCGCCCCCTGCGCCGCCGCTTCCGCCGGTGAATGGTCAGCGCAGGAGTTTGAACAGGGCCCTGAACCATCTCAACGCCATTTGCGCTCCGGCCCCCTCCTCCTTCCTCCAACAGCCGCTCGCTCCGTCACTCGCTTCCCACAGGCCCCGCGCGGCGCCCGACCCCGCAGCCAATCGCGCAGCCGCTTACTCAAACCGCCGCGCAGGCGCCGCGCCGCGCCCCGCACGCGCCCGCGCCCGCCATTGGTCCGGCCGCGGGGCCCGACGGGAATTGTAGTCCCGGTCCGCGAGGTGGCGGGTGCGGAGTTCCCCGCGCCGGAGCGGGACCGGCGGCGGGCGGAGCCGCTCTCGCGGTCGCGGCCCTCCCGGCCCCGGAGCCAGTTCCAACCCCGGCCGCCGGAGACGCACGTGGCGCGGGAGGGCCGGGCGCGGTGCAGGCAGCTGTGTCAATCGTTTCCCCTCCGGGGACCGCCGGTGTCTGGGGACGGTGGGTTGTGCAGCTGCGCCGGGCCTGCTGCGGCCGCGGCTGGGGCGGGGAGGCGGGGTGCGGAGCTCGCGTCTCCGTGCCCCGCGGGCCCGGGCGGCGTTGGCCTGGCGCAGGTAACGACCGCGGGCCCGGGAGGCCGGGGGCTGGGCTCCGATGGCCGCGACTTGCTGCGCGGCCCTTCCCTTCGCAGCTCTCCCTGCCTGCGCGCCCTTGGAGTGCACGGGAATATAGGCGGTGAGGGGTTGCCGTTGACCGTGTGGGAGTGATAACGATAATGTGGGGATGTGTGTGTGTTTTAAGGCGCACTCAAGTGTTGACGGGTAAAATGATAGGGTGCTGGTGCCTGTGAAGACAGGCGGCCCGC